TATATTTGTATAATGTGATTTAAATTTGGTTTATTTTAATCTTAATATTCATGAATATTCATAATCTTCACAGTTATCGTACGTAGTCATGTTGCTACTGCCATACTAATTTTTGACATAAATTTCCTTTTAAATTTGATCTAAACAGACAATGTAATGAATTACATCGCTTAAAGAAAAAAATAAAGTTGCTTTTTTTTTAGCATACTGGAGCCACATTACTTGTCTATTATGATCAAATATTTATGATATTAGCAACTACCAGATGATAACGTTATCGTATGAGGTAAACAATCGATACAGTAGGATACTTCAGTGATCGAATTAAATATCTGACCGTTGGCCGAAATCTTCAGCCAGGTCTGCCACGTGGCAAATAATTAACGCATAGTTATCAATAATTTGTAAATGTGGTAGAAATCAGGCATCAAATAAGTTAAGCTGGATCCATAACATTCTCGACATTTTTTTCTTCGACAGTTATTTCACCGCACCACATAGGGTGATGATTAATATTTAAAGTCAGATGAAGATTAAGAATCGACTTTAATATTAATCGTCACTCTACGTGATTTCGGTGAAATAATTGTCGAAGAAAAAAATGTCGGGGAACCCTGTTAAACCAGATCTGCAGCAACATATACAAGACCTTTGGTATTTCGGCTATTTTTCAAAAAATTCGGCAGACTCTAAATATTCGGCAATTCATACTTAATATACAGCCGAAACTTCAAAGATCTAACCGCAATTAGGATATTCTATAGAATAGGTGGGCAAAATAAGAAATAAGCTTCGCTAATGATTAGTAATCATTAATTTTTTAATAGCGGAGTTGCGGAGTTTGCGGAGTTTGCCCACCTATTCTATAGAACATCCCGAAAGGGATTGCCGATACAGCCGAAACTTCTGAAGTCCACTAGAATTGCTGCAGTCCGCCTATACTAAAATAAAAAACTTTTTGCAGAATCTACAAGTGACATTACTTTTAGAGTCCGCATTGTGGCCAAAATGGAAAAAAAAATTTTCGGTCACAGGTATAATCGCAGCACAAAAACATTTGAACGGATACATGATTCGATTACTGATCTACACTAATACGATAACTTAAAATTAGTATAATAAATTTTATATATTTATGAATATAGTATATTTGACCACAAGCATTAGTGATGCTTATTAGAATTACAATTTTCAGGATTTTGAATTAAATGAACTTGAAAACTTTCATAGTTTTGAATATATACCTCTTTTGGATTTATATTAGCGCTGATTCTTTTAAGAACAACTGTTATTCCTGACCATTCTGATTTGTATATAGAACTGTATGCACTACCGGAAATCTTTTCTTGGCAACTAAACTCATTGCCATCAAAAAAGTTTATACGATCCTTAATAGCTTCCTTTCCAAATGATCCTATAAAATTTGAACCCATTATTAATTATCTATACGTTTTAGCCCATTTGATCGAACTTTTATAATCAGATACC